TGACTGTAGTGTAATCATTTGAGTGTCCTTAGGATTGTCCACTGGTTGACTCAGAATTTCTCCTTCCTCTCCTTCACTTATGGCACTAGCTAGTTGATCAATATGGGTTTCTAATCTAGCTAGGGCTTGAGTGTTAGAGTTAAGTATGAGTTCGGTTGATTGCATAAAGGAGTTCATCGTGTAGGATGTTTGAGTTAACATATCCGTGGCTAGTGTGGAGGCCTTAATAATGATTTCAAAACATTTTTCCAAAAAATTGAGACGTTCATCATGATCTGTATCAAGAGGAGTGTGAGTTACAACTTGATGATGAGGAGACTGATTTTGATGTGACAGATTGGGTTGTTGAAATTGTGGATGAGAATTAAAAGGAACTGTATTTTCCCTAGGAAAATGTTGGGTCGAAGAGGGAGTGAAGTTTTAAGTTTCGGAGTGGTTTCCCTGATTCCATGCAATGTTTGTGTAACTTGCCCAACCTGGGTTGTAGGTTGGAAAAAATGGATCATTTACCGAATACTGATATGGACTCTCTTCAAACTCCCGAACTTCATTGGAAATTTCAATCCTATTGGGATAACATAAATTTTGAAAAACTTGTGGATTAGCCATTTGTTCAAAATGAATTTGTTGATGTGTATTGTCCCTAATCCACGTTTTGCATGCACCAAAAACAATTACTTTTTATATAATTTTTTTTTGTTTTGGAAAAATAAAAGTTAGTTTTTTTTTAAGAAGAAAAAGGAAAATCCTAACTAAAACAAATCAAAATCAATCACTTTTCAATCACTCTAACTCTAGGGTTAAGCCTAACTCAACTAGACTAGCTCCTAACCAAAAATTCCTTAAGTGAAAAGATAAAAGTTTTACCCGGGTAGTTAGCCAGGTAAGGATAGTACTAGAGGGTGATCAAAGATCAATTAAGTACCTCTTTCCTTGCGGAGCGCTTTACGCAACCCCTAAACCTTGCCTTAGACACCAACTAATCTGAGAAAACTTAAACCGGTTCACTTAAGGATTTCTTGTTCCTTATTGAGCTCGAATCCTTAGGGGCCAACGTCTAATGAGTTTTATTAGGCTTGGGTGGTGTAGTGAGGAATTAGTGATTTTTGGGCTAAGGAAAGGGTGATGAAATCCCTCACCTTATCTTGATTATGGGGTTTTGCCCTTAAAAATATTTTGAAGTGTGTGCCAAATCAAGATGCTCAAATCACTTGGTGAATTCCTACTAACTATATGAAATGCAACCCTATGAATTAAAAGCAACTAAAAAGGATGGAAGAAAAAAAATCTTTTTCTTTTTTTTAATTAGGGTTAACAATCAAACAAATGAGAAGGGGGGATTTGTTTGAATTTATTATCTTGTTAGTAAATGTCAAAGTGAAGGGTGAATTTTATTATGGTCAACGGAAATAAAATCTTTTTTTTAAGATCCTATTTGTCACTAATTGTGAGAAACTAACTAAAGGTGTGGAATTGAAAATATAAGGAAGAAGACTTACCACAAGCGAATATCCAATTCCTCAATCTCCAATTCTTGATCTTTAATCTCCAAGTAGTTCTTTCACAATAAACACACAAGTTAAAGAACCAAAATAATTAAAACCTACTTAAGCACCTTCCCCGGCAACGGCGCCAAAAACTTGATGCGGCATAAACATGTACCAAAAAGGTTGCAAGTGCACAACCGTGTCAAGTTATAGTATTTAAGATATCGATCCCACGAGGAAGGTGTTTTGTAGGAGAAAATATAAAATCGGTTCTTATGTTGTGTGCGTGACAAATAGGAATGATAAGTGAATGTAAATCTAAACTACAAAATAAATTGCAAAAATACAAGAAAATAAATCTACTCTATAAGCATGAAATAAATCTAATCTATGAGCATGAAATAAATCTAAGGCAAGAGGGTTCTAGCCTCTTGGCTATTTAACAAGAAAATAAAATCTAATTACAAACATAGAAATAAATCTAAACTAATAAGCAATAAAAGAGAAAAAGGAAAGAAATGCAAACCTTCAAATAATTCTCCATCTTCATCTTCATCTTCATCATCCAACAAAGAGAAGAAGAGAAAAATTTAAAGTGGTGAAAAAATTATTATTATTAATTGCAACAAAAAGTTAAATTTTTGGAAGGCCTTCTTAATTAAGAGTAGCCCTCCTCTCCAAAAGGAGTTTACAAAATTTTCACACTCTTAACCCCTCACTCTCTACCCCTATTTATAGTAATCTTCAATGAATATGAGCCATTGGATTTGTCTTGAGCCCCAAGCAACAATCTCCACCTTTGAATTTGGTTTTTGTTCTTCTCTAGCCCATGTGATTATCAAAATCCGGCCCATAAAGAAAAATCCAAAGCTGCAGCAACCATTTGATTTATGTAAGAAAGTTTGGCCCAATGATATTTCTTTTGATTTTGAACATTTGTAGCACAAAATCCATAAGCAAATCCGGCCTCCTATGCACACCAAGCCACAGGTCCATGAAGTTCGGCCCATTTCATTCTCCATTTGATTTTCAAATGTCAAAAATCCAAGAAACCCAAGTAACCGGCCTTTTGTGTGTTAGACAACTCTGCAGCTATTCCAATTTCATTTTCAAAACAAAATTGAACCGGCCCATGTGATTTTCACTTGAGAAATCAAATTCAAGCCCACGGTCTTCATTTTGTTCTCTCAAAGAAAAGCAATCAACTTTGAAGCACATAGGTCCGGCCCACTATCATTTGATTTTCAAATAAAAATCCAAGCAAGCCGGCCCACTTGAGAGAACACCAAGCCACAGGTCCATCAATCACATTTGATTTTGAAGAAAATTAAAAATCATGTCCAGCCCATAGCAAGTGTCCAAGTCCAATGAATCTTGTGATTAAAATTCAATAGCAGGTCCGGTCTTCATGTGAATTAATTTCCAACAGCCAAAGTCCATTTCCCTTGGTGTAATCTTTTTGCTTTGGGCCTTCAAAAAGTTAAAAATTGCACTTAGGCTTCTTGAATCATTTCTTCATTTAATCAATGGGTTTTTGTTGAGAGATGGGAAGTTGAGGTTTATTCTTCATTATTCTGTAATTAAAAGATAAAAACAATTATTAGTGATATATTTATTTATATAAAATAGATAATGAGGGTATAAAATTGTAATAAAAATATGATTATCACCTACTGCTGCCTTACCACTAGCTTAACACTAAAAGAGAAATAGCGATACTAGCACACCATGAAAGCACTCCCTTGCTTACTTCTTACTTACCCACACTCGCACTCTATCTAGCTTCCTTGTCTTCGCTATGTGTCCTAGCTAGCTGCAATCCAAACCTAAGCCTACAAAAGCAGAAAGCTAGATGCTACAAAAAGAAAATAGGGAAGGAAGCAATGGATGGATACGAGAGCTGCCTTTCCGGTTGGAAATGAGCCGCTCGCCTCTCCTTCCTTCACTTTCTAGCTGCAGGAGGTGGTGTATTATGTACTAATGTACCGACGTCTCACTTTAGTAAATCTTACCGCGAGTGGGTGGTTTAGCCACTGTCCTGAAAGAGATCCAACTTCTTCAATGCAATGTCTTAGTAGCGTAGAGTTCTCAAGTGTGGCTAGCAGTTAGCCATTCTATGTTTTCGACAACCAATCATTATTAGAAATGCAATTATTTAAAACTCTTACCTCAATTCGTCATTGGTATTGAGGACAGAGACTTTCATCACCTAACCCCCTTGCTAGAACACAAGTCTTAAGTGCTGGTCGGACACTCGGGAGATCACGGCTCGACCGGCATGAGCGTTGCATATCACGAGTGGGCTGCTATGTGGCTGACGGAAGGGAGGAGGATTAGAACGGAACTATTTTGATGGCATGTTTTGAGCTCATTTGAGCCTATAGATAGAGGACTGGTTGATGAGGGCCGATTAGAGTAGATTAGATTTCCTAAACCTAGTCAAGGAGAATACCTCCACTAAGAATTACCGCTAATAACTACCTCTTCCCAGCCTGACTAGCGGAATACCATGTTTTTCACCCACTAATGGTTGGCCGAGTCAAGGACTTCCTAAACTGAGGAATGGAGAATACCATGCCTAGCTTGATGAGTTAACTCTCAGTTAATGATCTTCGTAGTAAAGTGAAGCCGTATAGCGCAGGAGCCTCTATTCGAGTACGGTATCGCTTTTATTTAAAGCAAAAGAGCTCGACCAGCCCGTCGATCCTAACGTTTTCTTCGCTCCCGTTAGCGCCCTGTCTGTAGTTTTTCAGAGAATTCCCCTGGCCCATTGCCGGAGAATGTTGCATGCTGGCAAGAAAGTCATCCGATAGGGCATACAGACAGAACAGATAGGACATCCGAAAAACAAAAGCAAAATCGATAGATTATGGCGGGGAAACGCTTTTCACTATCAAGCAAGCTCCCAAGCGCAATCCATCTCTGGAAAAAGCCGAATGAGAGAAAGCAAAGCTCCCGATCTAGGCGGCAGTCATAGCTTCGGTTCCACAGGAGGAAATAAAAAAGGATTCCTGTGTCTACTAGGGAGTAGAAGTCGTCGGTTAGGGATTATGCCCTACCAAGAGCAAGAGCCGTGTCTCTTGACAAAGGTCAGTCTTCCCCTTCTACGAATATTTATCATCCAAGGCATAGCTTTCTTTGGCTTCCGCGGATCGCTTCAATATAGTCTCATGGCTTTGAGGAACCACTCGACCGGGCCTCCCTCTTCAGTTACGGGACTGATTCTTTCCTTTCTGCCTGCCTATAAGTTTTTTCAGTTAGACTCTCTTTCTTGTCTCGACCCTGTGGACCCATTTTTCTCTCTAGCTGACTTTACTTGATTTTTTCTTCTTCCGTAGAGATCCACGATTCTCTATCTTTGCTTAGTAGGGATAGCCTTTCACGCCCAGAGTCGGATTCAAATACCTCAATACTCCGAATTCATACCTTTCTTTTCTGTGAGGGACCTCCCCTATTGAAGTTTCATCCTTTCATAAATCCCTCTTTCCCTTTCCTCCTCTCCAGCGCCCGAGATCACCGCAGCTGAGCGTCGCCGCCGGGTCATCGCCGTCTACTCGTCCTCGCCATCGAGCTCACCCCTCGTCATCAGCCACGCCTCCGACGGCATTCGAGCTCAGCCCTCAGGTTCATCGCCGCCTCCGGAGATCGATCAAGCCCTCGACGTCATCCTCGCCATCACCTCCCCCCTCCTCTCCACCTCACGAAATCGCCGCAGCCTGCGCTTGCCGTCCCCGCTCAGTGTTGCCGCCGGCTCATCGCACTTCGCCGCTGTCGAGCTCGCCTCCACCGAGGTAAGGCATCAGGTCTAAATTAACGTGTTAGTTCTAACTGAAATGCATGTTAGCTAGCTCTAAATTAACGTGTTAGTTTTAACTGAAATGCATGTTAATGCTACCGGGATGCATGTTAGCTCTAATGGAGATGATGTTAGTTCTATTACGAGGCATGTTAGTTCTAGTTGGCGTTCCTGTTAGATCTAGTGGATTTCATGATGGTTCTATCTTCCCTCATGCATATTCCTTGGATCTATCTTCTTCCTTTTAATTTCAGCTCATACATTACTTGGTTTGCAGCACTCACTCTATGGCTACGAGCCGGATAATTTAGAGCTATTTTTGCCATGTATTGTTAAATTGGATATAAACTTTAAATTTGGTTTAAACTATCGTTTAGAAATTGTTTAGTGAAATTGAAAGATCAACTTGATGACGTTTTTTGAGCGATTTTGAACTTCTTATATGTGATAATTTGATAGCTTGTATAGACACTCCACCAATTCTCTCACGTGAGGCAACAATGGAAGAAGATAAAAGCCAGGACCATGATCTACTATCTACAACATGGCTTCCCCCTCAGGTGATAATATCTTATTGTTTATAGTGTACTACTAACTAATGACATATACCAAAATAGTTGTCTTTTAGCATGAGTTTTGTTTCTCTATTTTTATAGGCATCCGAGCATGAGGAGAATGGTGATGAGCTTATGGGCGTTGAAAATGGTGAAGATAATTTAAACAGCGTTGATCCATATATCGGAATGGAGTTCTCTACTCATGAGGAAGCTTATAATTTCTACAATGCATACGCCAGACTTAAGGGATTTGGTGTTCGCAAGGGTCACACAGCTTGGTCGAGAAAGAAAGATGCAATCCTATCTAGAATATTTGTATGTGACAAAGAAGGCTTTAAATCTTTAAAAGATAAAAGAGAAGATGGTCGGAATGTAATTCGAAAGTTCGATACAAGATGTGGATGCAACGCAAGGATGGTTATTGGACTTGATAGAAGCACTGAAAAATGGGTGGTCCGAAAGTTAAACAGTAAGCATAATGGTCATCCATTAACCACCCCAACTCGGGTAAAGAAGCACTACTCACATCGGACACTTCATCGAGCTCAATCGACAAAAAGGTTGATAGATACTCTTGACAATCAAGGTTTACGGCCTTCTGCCATTTGTAAGGTTGTAGACGTTGCTCATGGCAATGAACAAGGCTCTCTCACTCAACAAGAATGCCAAGCACAACTTAGACTTAAACGAAGAAACAACGTCGGCCATGAGTGCGTGAACATAGTTCGTCAATTTCAAGAGAAAAAGGTATCTGATCCTCAATTTTACTTCGCACTTGATTTAGAAAATGATGGGACGATGAGAAGTGTTTTTTGGATGGATGGTAGGTCGAGGACTTCTTACTTGCAATTTGGAGATGTTGTTTGCTTTGATGTTACATATAGAACGAACAATTTAAAATTGCCGTTTGCACCATTTACGGGCGTTAACCATCATCGACAGTCTACTCTATTTGGGTGTGCGTTACTGGCCGATGAAACGGAGGAGACGTTTATATGGTTATTTAGCCAATGGTTAAAATGTATGTCGGGTATAGCACCAGTAACAATCATCACTGATCAAGATAAAGCTATGTGTGGTGCTATTCACAAAGTTTTTCCTAAAACTCGCCATCGCTTTTGTTCTTGGCACCTTCGTAGGAATGCCTTACAAAATCTTCAATCAATGCATAATGATTATGGTGAGGATGTTGGTGTAAAGTATAACAAATGGTATTGGAGTAAATCGGAAGAAAAATTTGAAAAGCGTTGGGAAGAAATGAGGGACAAATATGGTGCAGATAAAAGGAGTTGGTTAGTAAATTTATACAATCATCGAGATCATTGGGCTCCAGTGTATCTTAAAGACACTTTTACTGCAGGAATGACATCTACTCAGCGGAGTGAGGGAATTAATGCTTTTTTTGATCATTTTGTGAATGTAAATACCGAGTTACATGATTTTGTTAAGCAGTATGATAATGCTGTCAGAGCTCGCCGAGCCGCTGAACTTGAGCAAGATTTTAAGTCCACAAACTCTGTTCCTACATTGATAATTGAACATCCCATTGAAAAACAAGCTAGGGAGAATTATACAAAGAATATGTTTAATATCTTTCAGAAAGAACTTAAGGATAGTTACTCCATGCTTCATGAGAGGTTGTCGAAGGATGGCGCAAGTGCTACTTATGCCGTTTGGAATATAGATCGCGAGGCTGAGAGGAAAAAGACGGTAAAGCATCATGTTGTTTTCGATGCATCCAAAGATAAAAGAATTAAGTGCTCTTGTGCGAAATTTGAGATGGAAGGTATATTATGCAAACATAGCTTGCACATTTTAGTAAAGAAGCAAGTATTAGAAATTCCATCAAGATATATTATGCAACGATGGACAATTAGCAAGTATTAGAAATTCCATTAAGATATATTATGCAACGATGGACAATTAAAGCAAGACATGTTGGTTGCGGAGTTGTTAGAAATTACATTTCAAATTGCGAAAACCAAGTCTCTATCATTAAACATTGGACCCTGAGGAGTAGATGTAACAAGGCATTAGAAGACACATTGACTTCAAGTAAACTTCATGATAAGTTTAGTGCTTTATTAGACTCATTTTTTGAAGAAGTTGAGAATTCCAAGATTGAGAAGGAACATAACGACAATGGAAATGAGAGCAATGCCAGCAATAAGATGCCTACTTCATCCATACCCATCTCTATAGAGGAAGCAACTCAAATCACTATTCGTGATCCAGATAAGCCTATTGCCACGAAGGGACGACCAACACAAGCTACCAGAATTAAGTCCGGAATTGAGATAGCACAAGAAAAGAGTATAAAAAAACAAAGATTTTGTGGATTTTGTAGATGGAAAAGGACATTTTTTTTACTCTGTGTTTATGCTCTTGATTATCTTGGTGATTTGCGTTTAGAATTAGATTTTCACCACCTTCTTATAATCTCACTTTCAAAATGATTGATGGGTTAATAATCTTATGTTTTTAACCCGTAGTTATATTCAAAATGATTGAGGGGTGGTAAACGATCGAATCGAATACTAAGTTGTTACACATTTGTATTTGTTTAAAATTATTGAAATCAAATGCGGACTCTAATATTCATATATGTAGTTTCGAATTCGAACTCGAATTATGTGTCTTCAGCAACGTTTAGGTTATGAATTAACTAGTTTGTTGGAGGTTTTAACTTGTAATTCTGGTTGATTTTGGAATATGAATTATGAATATTATCATTTTTTAGTTTAGATTTTAGGATAGGTTTATTGTTAAATTGGATATGAGCTTTAAAATTTGTTTAAATTATCGTAATGAAATTGTTTAGTGAAATTGAAAGATGAACTTGAGGATTGAAATTTTCTAGATTTTTAACATTCTTATATGTGATAATTTGATAGCTTGTATGGACACGCCAACAATTCTCTCACGTGATACAACAATAGTTAAAGATGAAAACAAATATACAGCCCTTGACCTTGAAGGCGAGGACCATGGTTTACTATCTACGACAAGTTTTTTCTCTCAGGTGATAATATCTTATTCTTTATAGTGTACTACTATCTAATGACATATACCAAAATAGTTGTCTTTTATAATGAGTTTTATAATTTTCGTTTCTCTATTTTTATAGGCATCCGAGCATGAGCAGAATGTTGATGAGCCTATTGGCGTTGAAAATGGTGAAGGTAATTTTGTTGTTGATCCATATATTGGAATGGAGTTCTCTACTCATGAGGAAGCTTATAATTTCTACAATGCATACGCCAGACTAAAGGGATTTGGTATTCGCAAGGGTCACACAACTTGGTCGAGAAAGAAAGATGCAATCATATCTAGAATATATGTATGTGACAAGGAAGGATTTAAATTTTTAAAAGATAAAAGAGAAGAAGGGCGGAATGTAATTCGAAAGTTCGATACAAGATGTGGATGCAACGCAAGGATGGTTATTGGACTTGATAGAAGCACTGAAAAATGGGTGGTCCGAAATTTAAACATTAATCATAATGGTCATCCATTAACCACCCCAAATCGGGTAAAGAAGCACTACTCACATCGGACACTTCATCGAGCTCAATCGACAAAAAGGTTGATAGATACTATTGACAATCAAGGTTTACGACCTTCTACCATTTGTAAGGTTTTAGACGTTGCTCATGGAAATGAACAAGGCTCTCTCACTCAACAAGAATGCCAAGCACAACTTAGACTTAAACGAAGAAACAACGTCGGCCATGAGTGCGTGAACATAGTTCGTCAATTTCAAGAGAAAAAGGTATCTGATCCTCAATTTTACTTCGCACTTGATTTAGAAAATGATGGGACGATGAGAAGTGTTTTTTGGATGGATGGTAGGTCGAGGACTTCTTACTTGCAATTTGGAGATGTTGTTTGCTTTGATGTTACATATAGAACGAACAATTTAAAATTGCCGTTTGCACCATTTACGGGCGTTAACCATCATCGACAGTCTACTCTATTTGGGTGTGCGTTACTGGCCGATGAAACGGAGGAGACGTTTATATGGTTATTTAGCCAATGGTTAAAATGTATGTCGGGTATAGCACCAGTAACAATCATCACTGATCAAGATAAAGCTATGTGTGGTGCTATTCACAAAGTTTTTCCTAAAACTCGCCATCGCTTTTGTTCTTGGCACCTTCGTAGGAATGCCTTACAAAATCTTCAATCAATGCATAATGATTATGGTGAGGATGTTGGTGTAAAGTATAACAAATGGTATTGGAGTAAATCGGAAGAAAAATTTGAAAAGCGTTGGGAAGAAATGAGGGACAAATATGGTGCAGATAAAAGGAGTTGGTTAGTAAATTTATACAATCATCGAGATCATTGGGCTCCAGTGTATCTTAAAGACACTTTTACTGCAGGAATGACATCTACTCAGCGGAGTGAGGGAATTAATGCTTTTTTTGATCATTTTGTGAATGTAAATACCGAGTTACATGATTTTGTTAAGCAGTATGATAATGCTGTCAGAGCTCGCCGAGCCGCTGAACTTGAGCAAGATTTTAAGTCCACAAACTCAGTTCCTACATTGATAATTGAACATCCCATTGAAAAACAAGCTCGGGAGAATTATACGAAGAATCTGTTTACTATCTTTCAGAAAGAACTCAAGGATAGTTACTCCATGCTTCATGAAGGAGTAGATGTAACAAGGCATTAGAAGATACATTGACTTCAAGTACACTTCATGATAAGTTTAGTGCTTTTTTAGACTCATTTTTTGAAGAAGTTGGTACTTACAAGAAAGAAAATGAACATAACGACAATGGAAATGAGAGCATTACTAGCAATAAGATGCCTACTTCATCCATACTCATCTCTGTAGAGGAAGCAACTCAAATCACTATTCGTGATCCAGATAAGCCTATTGCCACGAAGGGACGACCAACACAAGCTACCAGAATTAAGTCCGGAATTGAGATAGCACAAGAAAAGAGTAAAAAAAACAAAGATTTTGTGGATTTTGTAAGGGAAAAGGACATTATATAACGAGTTGTCCTTTAGCTAAGGTATTATATTTATTCTTGATTTAATATTTTTTTTCATGTCGATGCATTTGTAATGATAAAGTTGTAATTTTTTTTGTAGATGAAAAATGTTACAGGTGGTGATCGAGAAAGGTAATGGAGGGCCAAAACAAAGTTAAAGGTGGACCAGAACAAAGCATGTGTTTATGAAGAATTTTGATAATTTGAATTAAAGTTTATGTATGTATGGATGATTTGGTTGTATGGATTAATCATGTATGGTTGATAATGTGGTCGTATGGATTAATCAAGTATGGATGATAATTTAAATTAAAGTTTATGTACGTATGGATTAGTTGGTTGTATTGATGATAATGTGGTTGTATGGATTAACCATGTATGGGTGAAAAATGAGGTACAAAATGTGGCTAAGTATGTAGAAAACATGCATAAGTAGGTACATAACTTAATTAAATGGGTACAAAATTTTTTTTAAGAACTACGAGGTAGTAAGCAGGCATAAGTAGGTACAATAGTGTAATAACTGGGTACAAATTATTTTTCAAGAACTACGAGGTACAAAACGTGCATAAGTGGGTAGAAAACAGGCATAAGTAGGTACAAAAGTGTAATAACTAGGTACAAATTTTTTTTCAAGAACTACGAGGTACAAAACGTGCATAAGTGGGTAGTAAACAGGCATAAGTAGGTACAAAAGTGTAATAACTAGGTACAATTTTTTTTCAAGAACTACGAGGTCCAAAACGTGCATAAGTGGGTAGAAAAGAGTAATAAGTACAAAAAAATTTCCAGATCAATGAGGTACAAAACGTGGCTAAGTAGGTAGAAAACATGCATAAGTAGGTACAAAAGTGTAATAACTGGTTACAAATTTTTTTTTAAGAACTACGAGGTACAAAACGTGGCTAAGTAGGTAGAAAATAGGCATAAGTAGGTACAAAAGTGTAATAACTGGGTACAAATTTTTTTCCAAGAACTACGAGGTACAAAACGTGGCTAAGTAGGTAGAAAACAGGCATAAGTAGGTACAAAAGTGTAATAACTGGGTACAAATTTTTTTCCAAGAACTACGAGGTACAAAACGTGGCTAAGTAGGTAGAAAACAGGCATAAGTAGGTACAAAAGTGTAATAACTGGGTACAAATTTTTTTTCAAGAACTACGAGGTACAAAACGTGCATAAGTGGGTAGTAAACAGGCATAAGTAGGTACAAAAGTGTAATAACTAGGTACAATTTTTTTTTCAAGAACTACGAGGTTCAAAACGTGCATAAGTGGGTAGAAAAGAGTAATAAGTACAAAAAAATTTCCAGATCAATGAGGTACAAAACGTGGCTAAGTAGGTAGAAAACAGGCATAAGTAGGTACAAAAGTGTAATAACTGGTTATAAATTTTTTTTCAAGAACTACGAGGTACAAAACGTGGCTAAGTAGGTAGAAAACAGGCATAAGTAGGTACAAAAGTGTAATAACTGGGTACAAATTTTTTTTCAAGAACTACGAGGTACAAAACGTGCATAAGTGGGTAGTAAACAGGCATAAGTAGGTACAAAAGTGTAATACTAGGTACAATTTTTTTTTCAAGAACTACGAGGTCCAAAACGTGCATAAGTGGGTAGAAAAGAGTAATAAGTACAAAAAAAATTCCAGATCAATGATGTACAAAACGTGGCTAAGTAGGTAGAAAACATGCATAAGTAGGTACAAAAGTGTAATAACTGGTTACAAATTTTTTTTCAAGAACTACGAGGTACAAAACGTTGCTAAGTAGGTAGAAAACAGGCATAAGTAGGTACAAAAGTGTAATAACGGGGTACAAATTTTTTTTCAAGAACTACGAGGTACAAAACGTGCATAAGTGGGTAGTAAACATGCATAAGTAGGTACAAATGTGTAATAACTAGGTACAATTTTTTTTTCAAGAACTACGAGGTTCAAAACGTGCATAAGTGGGTAGAAAAGAGTAATAAGTACAAAAAAATTTCCAGATCAATGAGGTACAAAACGTGGCTAAGTAGGTAGAAAACATGCATAAGTAGGTACAAAATTTGATTAAGTGAGTACAAATTTTTTTTTAAGAACTACGAGGTACAAAACGTGGCTAAGTAGGTAGAAAACAGGCATAAGTAGGTACAAAAGTGTAATAACTAGGTACGAATTTTTTTTTCAAGAACTACGAGGTACAAAACGTGGCTAAGTAGGTAGAAAACAGGCATAAGTAGGTACAAAAGTGTAATAACTGGGTACAAATTTTTTTTCAAGAACTACGAGGTCCAAAACGTGCATAAGTGGGTAGAAAAGAGTAATAAGTACAAAAAAATTTCCAGATCAATGAGGTACAAAACGTGGCTAAGTAGGTAGAAAACAGGCATAAGTAGGTACAAAAGTGTAATAACTGGGTACAAATTTTTTTTCAAGAACTACGAGGTACAAAACGTGGTTCAGTAGGTAGAAAACAGGCATAAGTAGGTACAAAAGTGTAATAACTAGGTACGAATTTTTTTTTCAAGAACTACGAGGTACAAAACGTGCATAAGTGGGTAGTAAACAGGCATAAGTAGGTACAAAAGTGTAATAACTAGGTACAATTTTTTTTTCAAGAACTACGAGGTCCAAAACGTGCATAAGTGGGTAGAAAAGAGTAATAAGTACAAAAAAATTTCCAGATCAATGAGGTACAAAACGTGGCTAAGTAGGTAGAAAACAGGCATAAGTAGGTACAAAAGTGTAATAACTAGGTACAATTTTTTTTTCAAGAACTACGAGGTTCAAAACGTGCATAAGTGGGTAGAAAAGAGTAATAAGTACAAAAAAATTTCCAGATCAATGAGGTACAAAACGTGGCTAAGTAGGTAGAAAACATGCATAAGTAGGTACAAAACTTGATTAAGTGGGTACAAATTTTTTTTCAAGAACTACGAGGTACAAAACGTGCATAAGTGGGTAGTAAACAGGCATAAGTAGGTACAAAAGTGTAATAACTAGGTACAATTTTTTTTTGTGCATAAGTGGGTAGTAAACAGGCATAAGTAGGTACAAAAGTGTAATAACTAGGTACAATTTTTTTTTTCAAGAACTACGAGCTCCAAAACGTGCATAAGTGGGTACAAAAGTGTAATAAGTACAAAAAATTTCCAGATTAATGAGGTACAAAACGTGGCTAAGTAGGTAGAAAACAAGCATAAGTAGGTACAAAATTTGATTAAGTGGGTACAAATTTTTTTTCAAGAACTACGAGGTACAAAACATGGCTAAGTAGGTAGAAAACAGGCATAAGTAGGTACAAAAGTGTAATAACTGGTTACAAATTTTTTTTCAAGAACTACGAGGTACAAAACGTGGCTAAGTAGGTAGAAAACAGGCATAAGTAGGTACAAAAGTGTAATAACTGGGTACAATTTTTTTTCAAGAACTACGAGGTACAAAACGTGCATAAGTAGGTACAAAACAAGCATAAGTAGGTACAAAAGTGTAATAAGTAGGTACAAATTTTCAACCATTGCATAGCGTACAATCAAATTAAAGATGATACTTGATGTGATTAAAACGAATACAACAAACAAATTAAAGATGCTTAGTAGCTTACTTTTCAACCATTGCATAGCGTTTCACAATAAATAACATGATCTGTTCGTAGATAGCCCAATAAATAACATTTTCAATGAAAATTTTTTCACTTCCACTTATCCATAAATCATCATCCACATAATATCATCCACATATTGCATACAAAACAAAAACCATGGTGAAGAATAAAATCATATTTACAAAAAAGGTGAATCGCGTGCATACAAAAGAGCTGCACAAAACTTTGCTCTATACTTTGCACAATCTTCTTTTGAAATTGTTATCGGCCGCTTTTCGACAATGCTCGTAATGAATTCAATCATAAAGATCCCGCAATCTAAAGTTATGCATTTAAGGAAAAAATACAATATTGATAATGACTTTGAGAAAAATGAACATTTACATTAAAACGCATGAAATACTTACGGTCCTTGTTGTGGCGTGTCAACTGACTCCAGAACATGATGCTCTAATTTCCCCAATCTCCAATTACTTTGTATGAAACTCATAAACTTATTTCTAAATTTCGCAGCATCGGCGGTATAAATGGGGGATTTGATTGAGGAGTAGTGATAGAATTTTTTCTCCTCTCTTACTAACTCTACCATGTGCCAATGTCCAGAGCTGACAATCGGGATCAGAAATCTTTCACACTCCAAGAACTTCTGCTGAGAAATATTTTCCTTCATTCGTTTTGCCACCATTTCACGATTTCCATCTAGAAATGCTTGCTAAAAGAAGCATCAATGTCAAGTTTTGCCACCATTTCACGATTTCCATCTAGAAATGCTTGCTAAAAGAAGCATCAATGTCAACAATGTAGTGTTATATATTAATAAAAACCACAAACTAATGAAACAACATGGATATACTTACTGCAAGCCAAGGCCTTGTGACATGTATCTTTCGATCATAACTATTAGTTGTTTCAATCTTTTTCCAAAGCCGAATAACAAATGCATCTATCACCTAAAAAATTTACCATGAACGAATAAAGTAGTTAATATAAGTGATTTTATAGACAACATCAAACAAACCATAACACAAATGTTTAGGACCTACATCATCACTGAGTTCACCTCCTGTCAATAGTTTATAAGCATCTAAGTGAGATACGCTTGCTTCGGCACACTTCCAAATGTATGTATCACTATATCCAAAACATGGTGAGAAAATTGCAACACAAATTAAGTAAATTCAAAGATTATTATTAGAATAAGCCAGTAACAAATACCTGGTCATTTTCGATTGTAGAAAGTCTTCAATTAATTTGTCCTCATAATCATCGACCAGTACCTTACCTGGATAGTCGAGAGATGTAGGTATGAAGCCTTCATCATTTTTTTAATTTTTTTTTCCCCTCAGGACTATCCAATATCTGGATGACACGTTTCTTCTTTGTGCCTTCCTTTGCTTGATCTAGACGTATATAAGGTGAAGTAACAGAGGGTCCATCCTTCCTCGTCCTCTTTCTGACAACCCGTTTGATAGATGTGGTTTCTTTTTTATTCTCATTACCACCGTCATCTTTTTGAGAAACATCGCTATGGAGTTGAAATGCATATAATTAACAAAGAGTAACACAAGAATTATACGAAAAGTATAAAAAGAAAAATTACAAGAGAATTAAAAAACAATAAACTCACACAGCTTCTTCTAAAATTTTCATGTCTCTTGGGCTCATCAAAATGTCATTGCAAATATCGGCTTCCTCAGTTTCTTCCAAATTCTCATATTCATTAGCTTCCATATCCTCTTCGCTTTTAGTTTCAAAATGTACATTTCTGTCATCCTCTTTCTCCTTGTTTTGTTTTTTGCATAAAGCACTTTGCTCTTCTAATTCTCGTAATTCTGTAGTGAGCTCGTTCAACTCGTACGTCTTCTCCGCAATTAAGGCAATTAATTCAGCTTTCCTTGATTCCTATAAAACAAAAAAATACAAGTATTAGTACTTATACTATAGTTGCAGACATAGAACATAAAAATGAGAGATAAAATAATGAACTACGAGAGCAAATATATGTACAAATATTCTTGGCGATGCCTTACGAATAAGAGGAGTATTCACTTCGCCATTATCAGTAAGAAACTTCGGATTTCTATATAATTTGTTCATACTAGTCCTCCTCCACTTTCCGGTATTCTTCACACAAAAGAGCGGCGGTAACCTTTCAATATCTGAAGTGTACTCTATTTCCCCTACTTTTTCATAAAACCAAACCTACAATATAGAAACTATACATTAGCATGTGCATAAACACTAATCATTAACAAATTGAAAATATATACAAAATAATGTTCATGTAACTCACTAGTAAAACGGAGGAAAAACCACCCATGTACCCAGCATTTAAGCGCTGACATAATCCCCTCGTACTAAGAGACTTCTTTGCTTTATTCATCTCTTTACAAAGAAAAGTAAACACCGCATGACACCAATTGTATTTCTTCAAAGTTAAAAACTGCTCTGCATATCTAAATGCCCATAAGGGACATGTCTTACATGTTCGCGGGCATAATATGAAGCCGATAATAAAAGCCACAATAAGTTTCACACATATTATAGGGTCTTCATTATTCATATCTATAATCATCTCGGCCATTCTATCGCGCTTTCCCCAAATCACCGCCTTTTTTTTAGCATCAGCTTTCTTCTTGCCTTTAGAGCTATTACTCTTCTTCTCTTTGAGTGTCTTATAATTCTTTACAAAACTGGTGTAGATTGTATTAGACGCTGTCCCATTCATTTTTATCAAAATTCCTTCCTTTGGCAAACCGATAATTCGGTGAATATCATCTATACCAAACACATAATTTTTATTCCCAATCATGAATGAGCATGTATCAGAATTAAATTTTGGAATCAAGCAATCAATTACTATTTGCTCATTGCTCAAGGATGTGGGTAACTTGAGGAAGTTGTGAAAAGGTGTCGTCTCTAGGGCTTTTATGTGCCTTTCATCCAATATAATTCGCTTATCAATTAAATCTCGAAAATAACGCTTTTATGTGCCTTTCATCCAATATAATTCGCTTATCAATTAAATCTCGAAAATAACACAAATTGGACGGAAGTCTCAATTGTGTTATCATAGCCCTACAAGAAAATTATAAATCAGAAATAGGTAAAAATTACCTAAAAATAGATACTCGATATGACAATAATCACAATAATTTTTACAAGTTTATTAACACAAACATTATCTCATGCAAGAGGATATATCTCATTAAGCAATGACTTGTTGACACAGACATCAGTAGGCGGAGGCATCAATTTCAACTTTTGACGCATATTAAAACAAACATTATATCTCAAAAAAAAAATTTACTTACGACGTTAGAGGATTTTTGCATTTAGAAGATGAAGGCTTTAATTTTGAAGAAATCGAAGGCGTTGACGCTTTCAATTTGTTCGAAGTCATGAGGGCTGATGAAGATGTCGAACCAATCTCCAAGCGAGGGGATGTCAAGGGCGAGTGCGAGCTTCAACGGCGACGTTGAGCGTGCGTATACTGAAAAGAGAAAAAACAAACGTGTCGATGTATCGAATATAACTACGGGTTAAAAACATAAGATTATTAACCCATCAATCATTTTGAAAGTGAGATTATAAGAAGGTGGTGAAAATCTAATTCTAAATGCAAATCACCAAGATAATCAAGAGCATAAACACAGAGTAAAAAAATGTTGTTTAATTTTCCCTTAAACATCGTAACTGTGAAGAAATTATTTCACTTCGAATAATCTTTATCTATAAAAACCTATTAGATGATTCTTTCAAGAGCATAAATCACCAAGATCATCCACAGACAGCCATCCATTTAAAATTACAGTTACGATGTTTACGGGTGTTCCGGTAACTCTTAAAAGAAGGGGTTTTCTGATTTTTTTTAAAGTCATGGAGGTTACTTGATAAATTTTCAAACTTAGGTACGTGATATTAAGTACAAATCATGCAATATCTCTCAGTGAGAGGAAGAGAGCTAATCAAGATCGATGAGGCATTGAAGTTTCTGCAGAAGGTTTCCTTTCCCTATAATTTCTTAATAAAAAAAAATTACATAAAAAAAACAAAACCTGAATTAAGAGGAGGTGTTGGGGGGCGGATGTGGAGGGGCTCAGGTGAGCTTCAGAGATCGATGGCGAGGGACGGCACTGGTGAGGGACGGCACTGGTGAGGGACGGCGTCGACGATCTCCGGAGGTCGACGGCGAGGTCTGGGAGAGGGAACCGAACAGGAGGTCAATGGCGAGGTCTGAAAAGCGGATAGGAGACGGCGGTGATGATGGACGGCGAGGGACGGCGGTGGTGAGGGCCGGCGACGAATAGGAGACGGCGGTGATGATGGACGGCGGCGAAGTCTACGATCGCGAATAGGAGACGGACAGGATGCGCGATTTTTTTCAAAGCTGGAACACGATTTTGAAGGGGAGAACGTGGGAATAGGGTTTTTCTTTTTTGGAAATTTGTTTTTTTATTTTTAGGAATTGTTATTGGATCAATGGCTTAGATTATTTTGGGGTTTTTGAGATCAATGGCTGAGATTGCGCATCCTTAGGCTACACCTAGGGAGTCACCTCTAGCATTCACATTTCCCGTTTATTGATATAGTATATATATATATTTATATATACTATTATATATAATATATATATATATATATCATATTATATATATACATATATAAGGGTGTGTGTGTATATTATATATGAATATATATAGTATATATTTTATAATATTATTTAATAACTATATATTTTATATATAGATATTATATACTATATATACAGTACATATTACATGTTGTGTGTGTATATATATATATATATATTATATATTAAAATATATATGTATGTATACTCATTATCATATTAATATCATGTGTTGGTGTTGTTATATAATATAGTATATGATAGATATAATATATATTAGTATATATATTATATATATATATTATATATACGTATATATATATATATATATATATATATATATAGTATACACGCTACAGTAAATGTATAAGTTTGTGTATACATACATACATGTATATATATACATGTATGTATGTTTATATATGTATATATACATATATGTATGTATATGTGTATATGTGTATATGTATGTGTGTGTATATGCATGTGTGTGTATATAAAATTAGTAATTGGTCCACTAAGAGACCAGTTTTGGGTCCTCTTGGATCTGTCCATTTCTTTGGGTGGATCCACCAATATTGCGAGCAATTAGTTCTGAGAATGCCGATTTAGTAATACAAGCTTGGATCCGACCCACAAACTTATGTGCAAAATCAAAATGAGTTAGAACATCAATAATAAATTCCCACTCCATCTAGTTACATGCTCTCTCCATATCCGCATTCACCGCCATCAAACCCCCTCCCCAACCAAGTATTCCCTTAGAGTGTAATACCTCTTGGGCAATGAGAATATTTTCATATATTAGTCTCCCCTACACAAATGCACTCTGCTCTTCTGATATGATCTATGTAGTCACTGCATTTATACAATTAACGAGAAATTTTGAAACCATCTTGTAGATCACATTACATAGGCTTATAGGTCTTCAATCCTCCTCGTTTGGTACGTGGGAATGAAGCCAAGTGAGAATGGAATGGAAGAATGAATGAATGAGATGGAATGGTCATTCCCATTTTCTTATTTGGGTGTGTTTGTAGAATAAAGCTAGAATGAAAATCTAATTCTCATTCCCATGTTTGGTATCACTAGTTGACAAGTGAGAATGAAATCTTATTTTCTAATAATGCCCTTATAACAACATAGATTTTTAATAAAATAAAAATAAACATTAATGATAATAACTAAAAAAATTTATTTATGTATATGTTATATTAATCTAGGTATGTGTTATACTAATGTGCATGTTATCGATCAGGTATATGTTTCGTTTATATTTTTTAAACAATTCTCACTATTTCTGCATATGTTATATTAATCCAGGTATGTGTTATAATAATGCCCTTATATCTCTATATATAGTCTAGACATGATATGATTTTGATAATTTTAATATTTTGGCCAATTTCTCAGCGAGAGTTTACTCTTTTCATAAATATTGGGTCAAATATTTTTCAAGCAAAAGTTAGATTTATTGTTGTGCATGAACCACAATCAAACATGTATGCAATGAGTACATATAGTTCTCTATGGTGGGAAAACAATAGCAAAAGTTTAAAAAGAATATAATATGTTAGCGAAAATAACAGACTTTAAACATTGGTGAATAAATAAAAAAATTTGATTAACCAAAAAAAAAATATTGACATGAAAGAATTTCAAATGGCAAATAATATATAGTTTCAGTTGTATCTGTTTTTATATTAAATTGTGTTGCTCCTATGTTGAGCAATTGTGATATAATAGGCTAATGAAATATGTACTGCTAGTTTTAATATGCTACTAAAATATGTACCACTAGTTTTAACCCCTACCCCGCAAAAAATTCCTATTGTTCAAATATAATTAGTAGCTGAGAGAAGATGAGAATAGGTAGTCAAAGCCATGGTTTTTAAATTGATTCTTATTATTAATAGTGGTATAATTAAAAAAAAACCTAACTAATTTGATTCTCCCATTGAATGGGAATGATCATTCCCTATCTTCTCACTTGGAATGCCCATTCCCACAAAAAGTGGGAATGACCATTCCATGGGAATAGTCATTCCAACATCTAAAAACAAGTTTTGTTTGGTATGAGGGAATGAGAAGTGAGAATGACATTCCATTCATCTAAAAACAAGTTTTGTTTGGTATGAGGGAATGAGAAGTGAGAATGACATTCCATTCCACCCCATTCCCGCGTACCTGGTATGAGGGAATGAGAAGTGAGAATGACATTCCATTCCACCCCATTCCCGCGTACCAAATGGGGCCTTGGTGTTTAAGGACAAGAAACGCTTGGAACCAATAGTATAAAACAACTCTACCATTGGGGAGGCATGTATGTTCTGAAAAAATCTTCAAACTCTTCATATGTCAGGTCCTAGTACTCCCTAGTAATGCTCATAGAATTCAAATGTCATCCCATCCAGTCTCGGAGATTTACCACTAGGCAATGACTTAACTATACTTACATTTTCTTCTCGAGATGCCTTCTTACACATATCTTCATTATCTGAACTTGTGATCAAATGTGGGATGACATCCATAATTTTGCCTCCCTCTCTCCCAGCTGGTGCACACCATTTCTCTTTGAAGTAACTCGGGGGTTATTGGTTTGTGTAATATGTGCATAAATAGGATAATTTTTTGGACAATATTTTTTTGGTGTTATTGGTTGGGATAATAGGATTGAGATAACAAATTTTGGTGTTAATGTCTTTGTGGAGCAATAGTGAGATAATTAACCCACATGAGATATAATTATCACACTCAATGTAAAAATAATTGTTCCTAAGCCAAAATTTACCCTAACTCTCATAACGGAATAATTTGAGATAAGTGGGATAATTTTTGAATATATAAATATTTACTACTAGTATATGTGCTAATTGCATTAGCTAAAAGATAAAATGATTATATAATTAATATCATTAAACATATTGTTGATATATTATATTAATTATAATGTAATATATTAATTTTTCATATTATATTATATTTATTATAATATGATAGTTTATAATATAATATATTTATGATTAATAAAGTAGCAAAAGTAACATAAATTATGTTACAATATATTATTTTTTATATATAATATTATCATATGATTAATATAATATGACATATTAAGTAAAAGTAATATATAATATTATAATATGTCATAATATGATAAATTATATATTTATTATGATGTTATATATTACAATATAATATATTTTATCATACATATTATTTATGTTACAATATATTATTTTTTATATATAATATTATCATATGATTAATATAATATGACATATTAAGTAAAAGTAATATATAATATTATAATATGTCATAATATGATAAATTATATATTTATTATGATGTTATATATTACAATATAATATATTTTATCATACATATTATTTATGTTACAAGTATAACATAACATATTTTAATATATATTATATTTTATTATATTAATAGTATTAAACATTTTTAAAATATATTTTGAAAATATTGTATATTATAATATGTTATAAGTATTTTATTACTTATATTTTTGCTATATGATATTAATTATAATTTAATACTATATTATATTGATCGTAGTATTACACATATTTATTATAAATCATGGTGACTCCAATATATTATATAGTATTACTATATTAAATTAAAATAATTTATTTTACTATATGATATTATAATATTAATATTACGATAAATCATGGTAAGTTCAATAAATATGATACTTTCGTAAGACGACGTAAGACGACGCCGCATCGTCAATTGTCCCACCTAAATCGTCTCAATCACAATTTTAAATTACCCCATTATCTCATGTTATCCCACTTTATCCCTCTCAAGTTGTTCTGATGGGTCACAGTTATCCCCAAATATTACCCCAAATATTAATATATGTTACTAAAATATTATATAATATTATAATAAATACGTTATACTATAATTACTAATTAATATTATATAATAATATATTACATAATATTATTAATATATGTTATTACAATATTATATAATATTATAATAAATATGATATACTATAATTACTATTATATAATATTATTAATATATGTTATTAAATTATGTCATTAAAATATTAATATATGTTATATTTTATATATCATGTCATATATTTATAATATAATTGCATGTATTAGTTAAGTAATATAAAAATATTTTAAAATTATCCCAATTGCCTTCAAAGTGGAACAACATTATTCTAATATGGAGGATGGGGTAAAATTTTACTATTGGGATAAAATTTTTGTATATGAGTGGAGTAATTTTATCCCAAGTGGTGTAATTGTCTCACTAGTATTCCAAAAAACCAATAAGAGCATCTCTAACAGCTTTTCCATTTCTCACTTTTGGAGAATTTAGTTAGTTTTTTGGTCCAACGGATTCCACATCTCATTCCCCAAAATAGGGATGGGGAGAAAAAATTGGGAAGCTTCCCCAAATCTGCAGCATTCTCCAAATATTTGGAGGAAAAAAGAGATTCTTCAAAATAGGGAAGCTGTTCGAATTGGTGTAAAAATTAGTTGGAGAATATGACTTTTGCTTCCCCATTTTGAAGAAAATTTTAGAGAAACTGTTGGAGATGCCCTAACACAAAAAGGTATTATCCTTATTCCATTGTCCTAATGAATAACACTATAAAATAGAATCCCCAAAATTATCCCATTATCCCCAAAATATCCGAACCAATAACCCCCCTAGCCGCAAAAGGGGAACAATTCTCAATCTCCAGCCCACCCACACAGTTTCAGTTCCTTTATAATTTCGAATAGCTGAAGCGAGTTTTCAAGCCCGCCTAACCACACCTGCCCTATGGGAATTTTTTTTGGGTGTTTCGATCTCTATCCAAACCTAACCCGTTAAGGAGCGTAACCCGGACTATGAAGGCGGAATCGGGCTTGACCAAGTGCCGGACAGACACGCAAGAAAAATAAAACCTAACCCGTTAAAGAGCGTAACCCGACCCGAACGTAACCCGGTCCAGCGTTATCCTCCCCTATTCTCCAATTTCCCCTCACTTCTCCAACGCAAAACCCCTCTAAAACCTCAGCACAAAAATCCACCAATGGCTTTATCCACTGCTCCTCCCCTTCTTCCCTTATCCTCTCTCCGACTCCCAATAATTTCACGTTATTTTCCCATCAAAATAACCCATGGCAACAAACTCCACTCTGCTAAAATTAGAAAACCCATGTCTGCTGCTATCTTTGCAAAAGCTGTCTCTTTTCACAGCAGGGAGGAGCTCGACACTGTCAACATCGCTGAGGACGTCACCCAGGTTCTAATATTCTGTTTCTTCTACTTTCTTCGTTGTAATTTTGGTTGATCTTCAGGTGGGCTCACTGTACCTTTTTTTTGATCTGGGTTGATTTCTTGTGTAAAATGTGAAACTGTTTGGCCTTATTTAGCGAGGAAGCTTATAATGGTTTCAATCGGGATAAGATTATTGCTAGTGAGGGCTTAGTTTTTAATGGGTTTTGTTTTTAAAAATAATATTCCTAATAAAATTTTTCTTTCCTTCTTCCTTGCTTTTTGTCTGTGTGGGGTGTGTTCGCGTACAGTTTGATAATGCTTTTATCTTTTCCAGGTTTTATACTATTCTACTCCATAATAGTAACTTAGAAAGAAACTGACTGGAATAGTCTATGTGACAACTATAAGACCAACGATCCTATGTAGATCAGAATGTTGGAAAATTAAGAAATATGTGCAAAAAATTAGTTTGGGAAAAATAAGAACGATGCAATTAGTATGCATGTATACACTAAGAGACATGATAGGAAAATTGAGTTCAACCATAGGAAGTGAGAGGTTGTTCAGAAAGAATTGAAATGCTGTAGTCACAGTAATGAAGGCCATTATATTACAACAATTCAGAGGAGTAGTAGTATTCTAATTAATGGCACAAGGAAGTTTAGAATGTAGGTTAAAGAGAACTTGGTCGGAAACAAGTATGAAGGATATGATAGTATCGAACATAATGAAGTAGATAGCCCTTAATAGAATTGAGTGGAAGAATAAGATTCAAGTAGTCAACCCCAAAAATTTGGCAGAAAGGTGTTTTTGTTGGTTTATGATCCTAAATATATATTATTTACACTTATGTTTATGTATTCTCATATTTCATTAAGTGTGTTTAGATTACATTTTAAGATTATATTTTATATACGAATCATTCGACATGGCTATTTACTACGTATCTCCAATTTTTCCCCAATATCCGTAATCCGATATAGAGTTTGACCGTCCGATATTTCCCCAATATTTTAAAGCCTTGCCCCTATTCTTGTAGCTATCAATATCACCTTCACTATTGCCATTGTCTATGCTGCCTTGTCTTTGGACTTTTGTTTAGGAAAGGTGATTAGTTAAGGACATACCTAGCTTGAGAAGACAATTAGCTATAGGATAGAGATTTCTTGACGTCTTTTATATATTATCTAGAGAATACTTCCGAATAGGAGAATTATCTGTTGATGCCACTTATATAAAAGTATAATTTATAATTTGCAATATACTCTGTGTAGAGTCATTTTCTGAAATCATTAGCTTGAAATTACGAGCAATATCATGAATTTGATTTAGACTTCCATGAAATCCATTAATTTTCTATTACTGTTTGAATTTTTTAAAAGGCTTTTGAAGCAACTAAGCATCACTAAGCAACTAAGCAGCACCAACTTTTTGATTGTGTTCCTTTCCTTAAATGAAATATTAATGAGAAATGCACTTACAGGTTATTATTTTTATTTCCTCAAAAGTGAAGGCTTTAAATTTAAGAATGAGCTTTTTATTTCATCCCCCAATTATCTATATTTTGAGATGGGTCTATGAAATATCATACTTTGAAATCAGTCCATCAATTTTCTTAAATAATTCTAAATTACTCCCTCTTAATTTTCTTTTTGTTTAAGTCCAACTTGCATCAGGCTGACGATGTTATAACACAGATGGAGACTAAATTGAACTAGCTTTTGAGAACTACTGGAGGTCGAGGTTAGGATATTAACGAGCAAGAATGAAGAGGAGACCAAACGTGATGGAAGCTCTGCTTCCTTTGCTATTGAGGATAAATGAATTGGGATGGAAGCAATGGCAGAGAATGAATTTCTTTGTACTTGTCATCTTGATCAAGATTGCTTGCTATATTGATGTTACCTTGTTCTTTATGTCACCTGGGTACTTCTATTGGAAGCCGTACCCGTACCCATACTGTAACTTCTTGAATATATTTCATTCGTTCAAGCATATACATGTTTTAATTTAAAACACTTCTCATACACCTCTTTGACATATATTCTACACTTCACATTTATTTCTTATATAATGATCTTATGTAAATGAGAAAAAAACATTATTGATCTTATCTAATAGTCATGTCCCTGGACCCTACTAAATTTAAAAGCAATATTGGTCTTATGTAAATTTTAATACATATAAATATACATAACATACATATATATAGTCGTGTCCTTGTACCCTACATTTTGCAAATTTGCCATCACCTATACCCGTACCCATGCAACTTAGCTTGTTCTATAGTGGAGGCATAGAAAATTAAGGTTATTTGACCAATGTTTGAAGGAGGATCTGAACCAAAGTACTTAAGCTATACCATGTCCATAGATCTATATTGACTGTCAGAACTAGATTGAAACAGGATCTGATTTTTAATTAATTCTTTCATGTAACTGGGTTTTCTTTCACGGTCAGTCAATAACTTATAGTGGACCGGTGATAATCAATGGGTCATTCTCCATCAAAGCCCAAAAATAATACAGCCTAAACATGAGAATTAGGTGTACAAATGAGAAACCTTGCGGTAAGAGTGATCCATCAATTTGGCCTAGAGCACCAATTTCACAGAAACACAAGCAATTTCGGGACAGGTGAAATAGAAATTTAGAAGTTTTACCTACAAGTCACTGATTCTGTCCATGATCCTTGAGACTTTCACCACGGGATATACTTAATTGAAGGTAACTTTCAGTTCAATCGTAGCTTGTATGCACCCATATTTTCTAGTTTTATGCAAGAGATCAAGAAAATACTTTATCTGTGAAAAAAAAGATTCTTTGTTTTTGATCTCCCAACCTCTATTTCCAAATCCTTAATCTCAGTTTCCACGGAAGGTTAGCTTTTCACATGTTCAATCACAAACTACCAGTCTCTGATAATGACCATATCATTCACATGCACTATCAATAAACTCTCTTCTCCCCTTATTTTGAATAAAGAGAGGATGATCTGCATAATATTTTGTACCATATCAAATTATAGCACTCTAAATTTTAATCGATCAAGTTCTTCCAGATTCTTTAGTCCATTGGTGGTACTATCGACTTTTGCCGGTAGTATATCGATGAAAATCCAGTAAACTGTTGCTCATTTTAAGTGAAATTCTTTGAAATTTTGGGAGTAGTTTTCTTGAAATTACGGATTGACGTTTTCAAGAAATTAAGTATGTCTCTTTTATGTTACTTCAGTATGATGAAGAAATATCTTTTTCATTCTTAATTTCTGACTTCTTGATCAGTTAATTGGGAGAACGCCAATGATATATCTCAACAATGTCGTTGACGATTGTGTGGCTAATATTGCTGCAAAACTCGAGTCTATGGAACCCTGTAGAAGTGTCAAAGATAGGTAATTACAATCAAAATAGCTTTATTATTTGAGCCATTTAACGCTGCGCAAAAGTTTGTTAACATGGATTGTGATACTATACAGGATTGGATGTAGCATGATAAACAATGCCGAAGACAAAGGACTTATTTCACGAGGAACGGTAAGCTTTTTTGCATTAAAAAGAGCCATTATCAGCTATATCAGCTATACACCACGTCCATCATAAGCAAGTTCCATTTGATCACAGACCACTTTAGTTGAACCAACTAGTGGAAATACAGGAGTTGGTATTGCCTTTGTTGCTGCTGCCAGGGGATATAGGCTCATTGTGACCATGCCTGCATCAATAAATCTAGAGAGACGTATTCTTCTTCGCGCACTTGGAGCAGAGATAATTTTAACAGATCCAGCAAAAGGTTTAAAAGGAGCAGTGGACAAGGCTAATGAAATAGTTGAGCGGACGCCAAATGCCTACATGTTTCAGCAGTTTGATAATCTGGCGAACTCTGAGGTTGATGCCCCATTTTTACTGTGTTCCTTCTTTTCCTTTTTTGTTGAAATAGCATTATACATTGTTTTAAAGTACATCTTTTAAATGTATAAATTATGTTAAGATTGCATCTAAATAGATTACAGATTCACTTTGAAACCACAGGTCCAGAAATATGGGAGGATACATTGGGCGGCGTTGATATATTTATCGCTAGCATTGGGACAGGTGGTACTATCACAGGTACAGGGCGTTATCTGAAAATGATGAACAGAGATATCAAGGTATGGACATCTCTCTCTATTGACTTTCTTGATCTTGTTGTTCAGTTCTTGTTTATTATTTTTCTTCAAATTTCTCCCTGAATTGTTTACCTGGTGAGCTCTATCCTCTCAGCACTGAGTTTGAAGTCCTGTCTTTTGCATCCTTGATCATTTTCAAATATGCTATATTGAAAAAAACAACTTATATCAGCAGTGATCCGGTATCTGACTAGTTTCTTGAAAATGATGATAATCAAAATGATGATAACATAATATTTTATAAAACATTTACTCTGCGCACCTTGAAATTGTTTCCCAAGTGTTAGTTCTTGGATCCAACTGAAGGTGATTTGATGTCATCATAAGGTGTGGATAAAGTAATTTCATGGCATCAGAATGGGGGAAATTAGCGGCTGCATAACATGATTTTGTGTTGAAATTGATCTTCAGAAAATTTATTCAATCAAGATAAAAATCCCCCCTTCACGGGTTGAATCAAAATTCTGACCAGGGAATCTCAGGGAAAGGCAATTGAGGGTATTGAAATGAATATTCAGGCAATTGTTGGAACGTAGAGGAGAAAGTATTTTCTTAGACGCGATGGACAGGAGAGCAGAAAAGTAGCTTGATTTCTGAATTCTTTTCTGTGGGGCGGTAACCTATTCTGATCCTTGAATGGTACAAATAATTACAATCAATGGACAAATAGTAGGTATAACTTTATTATCATTTCTGATGATCAAAAGGAAGTAAAAAGGAAGGCTGTATGCAATGAAATTTCTTCCTATACTATTGGATAATGTAAGCAGGTTAGGGATTGTCATGCAAAAGTCAACCCTTAAAGTTTTTGGACTAGAAAATTGTTAGTGGTGGTTTCTTAACTTCTGTGCTTACTTTTATCTGTCAATACTGTATTTCTCAAGTTCTTGATATCGTTGTAATTACTGTAGTTTGTTGCGAGAGTCTTGGCAGTTTCATGTATTCTATTTAGGATCTGTTGATGTTAGTGTATCCTCTGCTATATTATCTAGTCTGTTTATGATATCTTATGATAGTTCATCTCATTTTATTTCATATTACAGAAATTATCACTACAATATGCCTTTGACTTTTTCTTTCATTTTAATTTTGGTTTTTTTCAATATTAGTCCCTTAAATCTTAAATATTTTGAAATTAGTTCCTAAAATCATTGAAATTGCTGTCAGGTCCCCAATTCTTATATGTTGTATTGCTGCACTTGGTTCATTCCAAGTTACCAGAATTGGGGAGCCTCATAGCAATTTCAATGATTTGAGCGAGTAATTTTGAAACAACTTATAGGAAATGAGGTACCTAATAACAATTTCAATTATTTGATGGCCTAATTTAAAAAATATTAAAGATTATAGGGACTAATATTGAGAAATCCCTTTAATGTTATTCCCCTTTTTTGGATACATTACCAGCAACTGAAAGCATAGATCCTCAATTAAAACATAATTGTATCTTCATGAGAATTACATTTCATGTAGTGTTAAAAAAACCCGTTATATAACCCGTTATAACCCATTTTGTGACTTAACAGTGCCCTCTTGTTAGGTAACACCCATTTAATCCTGAAACTATTTTACCCAAAAAAACGTGTTAAATTGCGTTAAATGTGCGACACGTTATAAAATCAGTTAACATGAGATTTTTAAGTTAAATTGCATCTCTGATTAGGATGCTTTGATGCATCTCCACCGTCCAAATCATTTAAACCGTTCCCCTTTTAGTACCGATCACCCTATTTTCTTTTTGCAAATATGCGATCTCTTCACCTCCTCCAATTCAAACCCTAGCTCTTTGCCTCCTTTGAAACTTCTCCAGCTATTGGCAGCTTCTGTGATTCCAGTGAGGTAAATTTTTTATTTTATAGTTATGTATTGGGCATCTCAGTTTATATCTTTTTAATAAATAGTGATTCTAAATTTACCTTCCAAATTCTAATTTTTTTATTGCTAATTTACCATAAATCATATCAGACTTGTTGCTTTATTACCCTCCAACATAAATTTTTAAGATATGTCACAAAATTAGAGTACCGAGATTAATTACTGGGTTAATTGTGTTGGATAGATAATTACTTTTAGTTACTACTTGATTTTGATTAGGTCTCAGTTTCTAGCTTTTAGTTAATACTAGAGTTTATGAAATTAAGTTTGCACGCAATCTCTGTATATGCAAAATTTCTTACTGTTATTACATAGTTATGTTTAGCTTGGTTGATGTAGTGAACTTGATAGGAATTAGAATATTTTTGTGAAGTTGAGAACTCGAGAGTTGAAAATGTTTAGACTTGTTTTTATTGCCTTAATATTGATGATGTTAACGTATTTAAGCATTTGATGACGCTTTTTGGAATGATTGTTTGTCATGTATGACTAATTTTTGTTAAGAAATTGTGATACTCTATTTTTCTATTTGATAATTGTTATGTTATGTTTGAAAACTTAGATGATTCTAAGTATTAAAGTCATTATGAATTGTTAGTATTTATAAAATATCTATACAATTAATAAATAATATAATCTATTTTATGTGTTACATTTTTTTGCGTTTTATTCCTTAACTCTTAACAGGAGGCCAAGTATTACATAACTCATTCTCGTTATTTTCAACATTGATTTCATGCTAGAGCTAATAGTCTTCATGAGAATGGCCAATATTAATGCTGGCTCAGGTGAAATCAGTTGTGTTGTTTATTTGACTGAATCTACTAGGGATCTGTTTTGGATAATTGCATTTCATGCTAGAGCTAATAGTCTTCATGAGAATGGGCAATAATTATGCTGGCTTAAGTGAAATCAGTTGTGTTGTTTTAGATCTGGAACGCTTTATGTAGCTGTCACAGGTTTTCATAAGGGAATATGTAGTTATTTTTCCAGTTTCCCATGACACGTTTTGGACTAAAATAACTCTATTAGCCAACATATTGCACACAGTTCTATTGTGAAGTCATGTTATGTTTGACACAGGTTCTCATGCGTATCGTGTCTATTTTCTATACTTTCCAAGTGCTATTTTGTCCTGCATATGTGCTGATGTCCATATCTTTGCAACATAGCTATTACTTATTATCTAGTGCAAGATGGATAGTTGTCAAGCACTAACAATCAGAAACAAAGGCGGGGTGAGCATTTTAGTTAGTTTGAAAACCAATTGACTTTTAACTAATGTTTTAAATATCGGATATCGGGAAAATATCGGATGACCAAAATTCATATCAGATTGCGGATATCAGAGAAATATCGGGGATATGTGGTAAATATCGGAATGCCATAACTGATGTTTGTATATATAGTATAATGTACTAAAATGTAATCTCGACATATGTAATGAAATCTAAACATATAAAATGTGAATAATATATGTTTAGGATCACTAATTAACCTTGTAAAATAAACAAAAGTACAAATCAACTTTGCAACATTTGATCTGATTTTTTTAGGGTAAAATGTCATTTGATATAATGAGGAAATCATGATATCTTGCCCAAAAATTGTCAAACACTATATAATATTTTGTGACAAGCCATATAAAAAGATATGTCGGTCCACATATTGGTTGATATATCGGCCATATCAGGGGACATATCATCCAAAATAGCCAAAAAGCAATAAAGGATATTTAGAGACCATATCGGTTGCGGCAAGCCCTGTAAAAGGATATATCAAGAGATATATCGGGCCATGTCAAGGATATTTAAAACAATGCTTTTAACCAGTTGTTAGTGCCTCACATTATTATTTTTTTACTTGAAAATTACTTTCCTGTTTGAGGGTTGCAAAAAAAAACTTGATAAACGTCTTTCGCAGGTTTGTCAAATTGGTTAAGTAAAATTTTAAATTCCAATTGTGCATAATGATTAAGGGATAATAGTGGGTTAGCTCTGGTCTGTGGAGCTTATTAATTAGATTATAGACATCACTCGTCCCAGTAACCACGTAGCAAATTTTTATTGCTTCAGTGTCACATAGGTCCCTTGAGCCATTTCATTTAACGTGCCTATCTTCTTTTTGATTCTGTAACTTATTTTGTTCTCAGTAAGCCTTCAAAATCACTTTACATGTATAAGCAAGTTCTTAAAACTTTGTAAATTTTATTATAGCATAAACTGACTGGGAAACGGAAGGTAGGATCTGTGTTGCTTGGTAATACCATTTTCCATGCTTAGAATGCATCATTCATCATGGTCAAGAGATTGAAAAATGATATGCTTAAAGAGCGAAGCAGGATGGTGAAAGTGGAGAAAATTTTCTATCAGACTGTGTGATCATGGAATATGCATGAAATTAAAAGAAACTTTCTATATGGAAGATGGTAGAACGAGCAATGTGTTATGAGTTAGAATTGCAGCATTCATGAAATAACATGTTCATAAGGTGAATGTTGGTGAAAGATGAATGCTAAGATCGAGAGTGATGACAGACTAAATGACAGGTAAGGGATTAGCGTTTCCAGAAGAAATAAAGAGAACAACATTTAGCTTGTTTGTCTATGTGCAACAAAGGTTAATAATTGCACGTTTCTGGAATGAGTGATAGGATCCTAGTTAATGGACTGTTGAGATAGAGGAGTAGACATTAAAAACATGAATAGAGAATTAGACGGACATGGTAGCTGTTAATTTCATCAGGGGTATGGATTTTAATAGGGCTCAGTGGAAGAGATGGATATATGTGGATGATCCCAAAATCCGGGATAAAGGCTCTTTTTTCTTGTTTTTCTATTATAAGATTAGGAAAAGGAAGTAATAAGCATGCGCAAACAAAGCTTAGCATGTATCATAAGATAAATGCTGAAAGTCTCGCGTTGCCGATGCAAAACTGTTGTTCTGATCCTTTTAGTATCCACCATTGTGCGACCTACTCTAGGCTGGAACTTCAATATATTTTGAACTTCCATTTGAAACAATTACTAATTACTAAACTTGATGTCAGATTTTATTGGTCTCTTCCTTCTTTTATATTTCAGTATAATTTAACATTCCATTTTTAGTTTGGTTCCATTATGATAATCTATTATACTAAGTTTAACCTTGTTATCATTCTGGGACCTTTGTTTAAAACTCTATAGCTGAGCTGCCATGCATAACTCTGCTCTCTCTTTTGTTGTCAGGTTATTGGAGTAGAACCTGCAGAAACAAGCATAATTTCTGGAGGAAGTCCAGGTAAACAGTAGTGGTTTACGACATATTTGCCAAGAAGATTAGTACTTACTTTTCTTAAATTTTTTGTACTGTTACATCTTATTGTTTAAGTATCTATTGTTTTCTGTGCTTTTGTAGGTTATGTGCCAAGCATTCTTGATGTTAAGTTGCTTGATGAGGTCATGAAGGTCTAACCTCTAATTCAAGTATATTTCTGTGTTGTATTTTCCTAGTTCCATTTCATTTTTTGTCTTTCCTTCAAATATTTCTTGAACTGCTTTAGATGGTTTCCTGTTATTGATATACTTTGATGTACTTAGTTTCTTTTAATATGTTCATTTTTTAGTACAACATTAACTAGAAAGGTTACCATCTCTGTTTGATGCTGTTAAGATTGTTGGTGACTAGCTGAATCTCCTGTACCATACTAGTCTTTGACTGCTTACATGGGTGGTCTAAATAGGGAACCTAGTATAAAGCGATGGTGTGTGGCTGTTCTTTGGATCCTCACCAGTGAAGGGGAAGCATAAAAATTATTATAATGGTTCATACTTCCCTTTTAGATTTGATTGTACACTAGTGCCAAACAGACCGCGATCATGTCAGCTCATCTTGACTCCCATCCCCGTGTGTGAAACCTCTCATATGCGTGTTCGTCTGTCCGACACCAACACTTCTCAGACACTCCTTGAATATATGCACACAGTTATATAATACATGTTTTAGTTAAAACACTTGCCAAACATCTTGGACGTCTAGCTTACACTTCATATCCACTTTCTGCAACTTGCTTGACATAGGACAGACTCATTTCAACCCATACCCGGTTTCAGAAGTGTGTTTTTAAAGGGTTGTTTAGGTATCTAGTTCAAATTCAAGTGATTTTCTCGCAACATGGGAATGAAAAAACAACATTGATCACATGTAAATTATTAAGTACAATATTTATGTATGTATGTGTATGGATCAACCTTCAAACTCGTTGATTCTTACTGCCTGCTTGTGTTAACAACTTCCTTTGTGAACAGCTTAGGGAGTGAGAAATTGTATGATACCTTGATTCTTGTTGCCAAGGGATACTCTCATTGCTAGATACCTACACAGAAGATATTGCTAATGTTTGGCTGTTCTACTTTGCATAAGATGAATGATGAACACAAAGATAGGGTGTATAGTTGGTTATTGTAGAAACCTTAAGAACAGACTTAAAAAATTGTAGTACAAGTCTGCCCTTTACTGAGGTTAACTTGGAGACTGGACTACAGGGAGGGCTAACTTTGCAAGTATTATGAACTTTTGTCGAGAGTGGGAAGTCTAGGCATCTCCACGCGGCACCTGAAACTCACCAAAACTCCAGCTTTAAAATGGAAATCATTGGATCTGCATCCAGAATTAAGGGGATGCACAAGGCGTTGAAGTTTGAGAGAGAGTTATTGGACCTTTAGTGTTCTTTTTTTAACTTGGTACACTATTATTATCCAATAGTTCAATTTTTGTCCAGCTAGAAAAGCTTAAGGAGACCCTCGTCATATTTCTGCAAAGATCATGACAGGACTCTAGAGCATAGTTGCGCAATACTCCATTTTGATATGAGAGAAAAGATGTAAGCAGTAGCCCTTATGGCAATTTTCAGGGAGCGCAAAGTTGTGGGATTTTTCTTTGGTGACGTTCATCATTCAGGTTATCAAATGAGAAGATAATTGTTTTCAATCAACTTTTTTTGAAGATTTAAGTAAAAACAGGCAACTTTCTAGAGACACACAGATCCCTTTTTCATATTTGAAAATGAAAGTAAGAGGAATTTCAGCCATTTAGTGTCTCATATTTATTCCATATTTAAAAATGAAACTAAATGGAATTTCAGCCATTTAGTGTCTTTTCCTAATTCCATTTTTCACTGTTTATACTTCTTGAGCAGACATCTTAGGTTTGTTACCTGGGCATTGATGCTGAGTGTCTGTTTCTTGATAAATATTTACTTTTACTGATAAAAAACCTGTAAAGGTTAATCCATTTACATTTCTCTAGTTCCTTCTTCCTTTTTTATTGTAGCAAATTAGCTATTACAACTTATGCTTTCTTATTATAAGAGTAGTAGAGCAAGAAAATTGTTTATTATCTTAACCTACAATTGGGAGGAGATGCACTTTGTTGAATTTTGTTACTGCACAGTTTTTCTTGCTTTATTTTCTTACATGTAATCAATGTTACAGAAAGCGGTAGGCAGCCTAGGCATCGGACCCAACGCCTAGAGCCTAGGTGCCTAGGCGGTTTTTCTTTTTTTAATTTTTAATTAAAATAATAGAATGTCAATATTATAGAAAGCTTAGGTGCTGGATTGGTGTCTAGGCGGATTTTTTTTCTTTGGGGGGAAAGGTGGTTTGTTGAAGTTTGGAGGACGTAGAGGAGGTGTTCATAGTTAGAGGCTGGAGTAGTTTGGAGGTTGGAGAATGTATAGATTGCAACATAGGAAACTATAATCAAGGCCTAAAGGACGTAGTCCACGTAAGCAACTTACACTCCCCAAGGCGCTTCCAAAACCTAGGTGAACAACCTAGGTACCCCTAGGTGCTAGGCGCTAGGCGGGCGGGTTTGGTATTGGGCGGCTTTGGTATTGCCTAGGTCTAGGCGGACTAGGTGGAGGCTTTTTGAAACATTGTATGTAATTTCACTTGACTATTTTGCACCTTAAGTTGCATGTAATTTCACTTGACTATTTTGCACCTTAAGTATGATTTTTCTTCCTATTAAAATAGACAAATATAATGACAACATTTGTCTATTCTTGACCTCATAGATAAGCACTGCTGAAGCTGTTGAAGTAGCAAGAGCATTGGCTCTTAAAGAAGGATTGCTGGTAAGCACATTTATTTCTTAAATCAAGGATACAAATAATTATTGTTCTTTCTCTGCCAGGTAAAGACTACCCTTATCCATCTCTGATTATAAACATTTAAGTGTTGTTGAATTTTTTAAACTAAGATATTGTTGTTTTCCAGGTGGGTATTTCTTCGGGAGCTGCTGCTGCTGCTGCAATCCATGTGGCAAGAAGGCTTGAAAATGCTGGAAAGTTGATAGCAGTAAGCAGCATTTTCTTCTGAATTTATCTTAAGTTGCTTCTTTCACTAAATCTAACAGATTCTTTAATTACGTAAAAATAATAATCAGTATTTACTTCTCCACATTGGGGGCTGACTTATCATTGGTAATTCTACCTCAATTATGATTTAATTCCATGTATAAATTCCTAACATCTTCCCATTATTCTAGACTCACTTCTGATGTTTTGGAGGGTGGTTGTTTAAGTGTCCTTAGACTCTATCTAGCCAGAGAGGTTAAGCTTGATATATATTACTTTTGTCGATAATCTATTAGCTTAAGCTTCTGGGTAAAGTGCTATTTTGAATTGTTTACATAGCAACAAGCTTCAAGATGTTTCAGATTCAATCTCATCATTGATAGCTGGAAATTATTTCCATTTAATGTTTTTCAAATCAAATCAAAGTTTATGCTGGAGGATTTTCTTGTGGCTAAAAGGTCTATGTTAAAAGGCTGTGTTAACTTTGCTTGAGATACATTGTTAACATATGATTGACTTTGCTCTTACAATTGACTTGTCTGCATAGGACTTTTACTATTTTGTCATAAATGATGCATGTATCATATTGGTGAATTTTCAATTATTTTATGTTTAAGAAACCTTTCTCCCTCATCATGAAGATGGCTTACTCGAAGGTCGACTGTCAAGAAGCATCATGAAGTGGTTTTATTCTCTTTCCGTGTCCAATAAACAAATAAAATCATTATCTAAAGCATAAGTCTGGGATCTGAAGACTAAGTGAAATTCAATTTTTCATGGGTTATACAAACAGTATGACATGTCATGTAGTCATAAAAACAGCCTCATTTACAAGATAATAAGACCAGAAAGATGATGATTTATCTTGATATTGTTGGTCTGCTTATTGAGCACTAAACTTCTGACAATGCAAATAACACATGGAAACCACCTGTTTTTTTAGCAAGTCCCGTGTATTTATGTAGATTAAATTATCAGGTAAAAAGAAAATGTCGTTTTGGACTCTTACTATTTTTTAATGTGCTATCAGGAGAATAATGTCTTTTTGATGACTGTACAATAATAGAGATTAAATTGATTTCTGAAAGCCCATTCAGGTGCAGGCACTCAGACACACATGCATGCACACTATCAAAGTCACATATGAACATGTGCAAATGTGCACAAAGCCGAACGCAGTTCAACTCCAAAATAGAAACCATGAAAAAACATGTCATTGAGAACCTTCCAAATGTTTCAACTAAAAGCTGTATCCAATGTATGAATGTATGGCAAAACCTTATTGGAAATGAATCTCTTTCGTTTACCAGAAGAAGCAAACTAGTAGCTATTATTAGTTATATTATAGTTTCCCAGCTTCAGGTTAGCACACATAGCCAGCTATCATGGGAAAACATGTGAATCACCTGGTTTGAGATTACGCATCTAAACATAATACTGCCAACCCATGTATTATAGTAAATGTGAACTGAAGTCAACCCAGTTTCCTTATACTCCTTATATTTGCAGTGCAGTGGCTGTTTCCTTCTTTCTTGCCTGCTTAAATTGTCATTAGGATTTTGTTTTCTTGACTTTGTGAGTCTGTCTCATGAAACAAATGCGCCCAACCATGGTATCTTTGTTCGCAATCACCAATTACATTGTCATGGGATTATTTAGCTTTCATTAAAGACCACTTCAGTGATTCTCCATTACTACTGGCCACATAGATATCTCTAGACGAACCATTTGCTAAAAGCACAATGGTGTCCCACAGCCACAGTGCGGGATCTTTCCGTGGACTTGTATATCAAAATTGTTGTTTAACTTGACCACATAACACTAAATCCAATGCTTGTAGGCATCTTATCATATGTTTCGAGACATGGTCGACTTGGTTAATTATGGCAAAGACATTTCTAAGAAACCTACTCTCTTGGTCATCTTGTTTGGAAGGGACAATTAATCACATATCTTGATGCAATAGATGTCTGAAATGTGATTTTGTTTGGGGGCCAACTATAGGGACACTTCATAGGAACTAGAACCTCAGTTTATATTACAAGAATTTTAAATTTGTTTTCTGGAATTAAATTAAATAGCTGTGTAATAAATCATGGTTTAGAGATTGCATATGGAGGCATTTAAGCTCACCCATGGTTACTTCGTGCTTCTGGCGCTTCATCTTATTGAATTGGTTAGCTATGGCAGAGACAACTCTTATCAGTTGTTTTGAGACCTGGTCTGGTCATGACTGGGTTAGTTATTGCAACTCTATTTGCTGTCAGAATTACTTACTAGAGAAACAGTTGCGGTGGGTTCTTTTATGTGGAACGTGCTTTAAGGAATGGTACTCACTTTCCTGGTTCTCTTTTATGGAATGAAATATTAATCACATTTCTGGACATAGCAGGTGTCTGAAGTGTGTTTGAATTGCATTTCTAGAGATACTAGGTATCAATTCAAGGATGTGTTTAATGGTGGTGTCTGACATGGGAAGTTTCAAAAAGTCTGACACGGAGTAACAGCTGTACATTGTACGAAATATGCAAACGTTACTGTGACTTCAAGATACCTAGATAGCCAATCAATCATTATTGAGAAAATTGATTGACCCATAAATAAAATGATTCTTAGATCTTTTACATACAACAACACCAATAACAAAGCCTTTATTCCCAATATTTGGGGTCGGTTACGTGAATCCTATTCTTCCATTTCGATTTTTGGCTAGTTCCTTAGTTAAGTTAACCACGATCATATCCTTCTTAGGGCATGTTTGTTTTTTTGATAGTTCATGTCACGCCCCAAAACAGCTACAGAACCTAAGTTGCATGGAAATGGGCACGTGTACTGGTACGGGTGCGGGTACGGATAGGGGACACGGTAAAATTATAAAATGTAGGGTATGGGGACACGACTACATATATATATTGAATTAATAATGTACATGGAATAAAATTTTCCCGCTTCATGTGTCATTAGAATTAAAATCCCGATTACATTTTTGAGTTTCTTTTATCATATTGATTATTGTGAGTTGTAAATTACTTAGACATCTAAACGACCCATTAACTATATAGTTTTGAACTTGGGTATGGACTGAAACGAACCCGACCCGTACTATATAGTTTTGAACTTGGGTATGGACTGAAACGAACCCGACCCGTATCTCATTAGTTTCAAAAGACGGATGTGAAGTGTAAGCTCTACGTCCAGGAAGTCTTTGACAAGTGTTTTAAATTAACACATATATCGTATAATAGAGTACATATTGTAATAAATGCATGCATATATTCAAGAAGTGTCCATGAAGTTTGGGTACGGGAAAGTGTCGGGTACGTGTTCGGTACGAGTACGGCTTTATTATAGAAGTACCCGGGTAACATAGAACAGAACTTTATAAATAGGGGCACGCGACAACATTGACCCGTGCATAAGACTAGTATCATGCACGTGTCAATCCTAACGCTTCATATCACATAGCTTTTCTCCAAGTGTATAAACCTGCTGTTGACGGTAGAAGTTCATAGCAAACTATATATAATTAGTACGTACAACTTGAAAGCTCGCCGTTATAAGCATTTCACAAAACCAAAGTACGTTGTTCGGCTATACATAACACAAAAGAGAGACTTTCCCATATTAACGCCTCCTAGCAACATGCCGCAACAAAAAATCTAGCTTATATACGAAGCTACGCCATATTTGAAAAAAATTAAAACAATAGGGTGAACTAAAGCTCAGTGAGAACATTTCCCACTAGAGTTCCTATGTATCTAATAAAATAGTAATTCTAAAAAATATTGAATTATAGGTTTTGCACCTGAAATTCTGAGAGGATAAAATATTGCATAAAAGAATATATTATTTGTATTTTCATGCAATAATTTAAAACTCTTTCTTATATGTAAACTGAATTCACTATCATACATTCCCAAATTAGACTTTTTGCAATCAAGATAAATAATGAGAAAGAAAACGGACTACGCAACTTTTGCAAAACCAAAGATTACTATTTTCTCAAATTCACTATCAAAAGTTGCATCTCAAATTCTCGATGAATTATTCACATAGTTGCAAGAATCACCTCATAGGTCACACTAAGGTCACGAATATTATAGCCCAGTAGCATGGGAATATAAAACGCATCACAATATAGATAATTACCGGGAATAGAATGCACCTAAAATTGTCATAGGTTGCTTGCCAAATTAGAATTGCCCAATAGGGCTAGAATAGATTTTAGAAGGGCTAAATATAGAAGGGCCAAATGAAGGTGTATTCACTATATGCCAGCCACAGACAGAAACTTCATAGTGAACTTTCTAAGGGTTTTGGATACATAAAAAATCACTTGCTAAATCAGAAACACATCATTTATCCGAATTGTTAAACACTTCTAAATCAACTGGACAAGAGTAAAACTTGTCATCTTAGTTAAAATAGTTTACGGAATTCACTTTATCTATTTGTATCAGATACCAAGTCATGAAAAAAATCCTTGAATCCGTTAACTATTAAAACACATTCAAAATACTCTTTTCTTCAATAGCTTTCAAATAAAGTAATATTCACATTTATTTAAGATCGCATGAGAACCAAAATCATTTATCATATTTTATATGAAATCAAATTACTTTTATTATTTCATACAAATCAAAATCATAGTATTGGTTAGGCCATAATAGAAAAGCTCGAATTAATATGCATCGTAAATAATAGAATAATTATTTTTTGAGCGCAAGGTCATTCAGATATATAATATTTATGCAATTTATACTACAAAAATACTAGTGATTAACGAACTCACCTCTAGCAAATACGAATTTCCCAAAATTTGATCCCCCTTGATATCAACTAGATTCTATAAAATAAAATTATAAGGTTAATACCTTAATATAAGCTAATACTAATCACTCCATAATCTAGGTCCAAATAAGGTTAAATAATATTTAAGGCCCATAAAAAGCGTTCACCCATAGAAAGGGTTCACCTAGATTATTGCTAATTTTAGAAATT